TAAACAAAAAACACATAATGGAATATGTAGCTGGTTTGCCTAGACGTAAGCAGTAGCTCCCATGTAAATGCAACATCTGAAATTCTGAATTTCCAACTCCACATCCTGAAGCCCATTCTGCTCTCCAGTTACGTATAAAACTGTGAGCCACAGTCTTGGCACTTCACTCAATTGCACCATGTGGATTAATCAACCGCCCACCTTTGACTATCATTAAACCTTAGTTCTAAGCCGGTCTCATTCCTGAATCCTAGCTTGAGTTTGGGCATAGACACACAGGCTAACAGGTTTCCATCAAACTAGGTATACGTTACACAGAAGTTTAAATCCCTGATCAGATCTAGGCCGTATACACAAAGCATATCAGAAAAGGTCTTAGGAATCCTGTTAAAACCTGTTTGAAGACAACAACAAAGAACTCTCAGCTCAGAGTAGGTTTTAGGATGATGTTAAGACACTGCCCAGACAAACTCTGAGCCAGGAGTAAAATCAACTCATAAAAGTTTATCTCAGCTGGTACCACAAAGGAAAGATAGTGATGATGCTCATTGACATTGTTGCAAATTGGGGAATAAACAATCGCGATGAGGCATCACCAGCTGTGAACTCAATATAACGTGTTACTTCAGACAACCACGGTGAATGTGACTGTACATTAAATGTTGCAATGATAAAACATTTGATATAATTTTCGCCTGATAAGATCAGATTGCCTACACTTAATTATTGCCTAATATGTTTGCATGAAAAACCTTTTTTTTAACCAATTCTGATGGTTGTTAAAAGCTGAATTTTGACAATAATTACCATTATATAAACACACTCGTCACTATGTTTAACAACTCTAAATCGCTTTGGCACAGTAGGCATTAAGTCACTTGCCGATAATGTTGCAGACAACGTTTGAAAGGTTTATCATTTTTGTCAAACACAATCATAGTCAACATAAGCCCTAAATGCCTTCAATTGTCCAACTTATCGGCATGCCCAATTTAGACATATTTTTTTAACAATGCGTTGCAGATGGATAACTTGAAATAACATGACGTAGGTAATTCAATAATCGAAAGAAAAACATGTTTATTTATTAGCCTAGTTGTTATACACTGAGTGTACAAAACATTAGGAACACCTTCCTAATATTGAGTTGCACCCACTTTTGCCCTCAGAACAGCCTCAATCCGTCGGGCATGGACTCTACTAGGTGTCAAAAGTGTTCCACAAGGATGCTGGTCCATGTTGACTCCAATGCTTGACACTGTTGCGTCAAGTTGGCTGGATGTCCTTTGGGTGGTGGACCATTCTTGATACACACTGGAAACTGTTGTGCATGAAAAACAAAGCATGAAAAAACTAGTTCCTAATGTTTTGTACACTCAGTGTATATCATCATGTAAAGGTCAGATGCTTTGTGATGGTTGCAGACTCAACAGTGCTCGTGGCTCACCAATCCTAAAGGTGAAGGCAGCCCTTCCTTGGACTGTCCCTGGTGATAACAACACTCATAACAACACTCCTACCCTCAGTCCCATGTTCATTATAAACCACTTACATGTTGGACTATGCATGTGTTCTCAATGGAGACAGAACGGAGAGGTAAGATGAAACATGGAGAAGTCTACAATTTCCTCTTCATGGCTCTATTTCCTTTTTAGCAAGGGGGCACAGACTGGAGTGGGCGTCCTCTCTCTCAGAAACACCCCTCGTCTCTACTTGAAAAAGGTTTCTCATTCAATTATGTACATTTGGAAAATTGGCCTGAGTGAAGTCATCAATCCATCTCTGCGGCTCTTTTCATCATCAGTGTCCCTGGTGAAAGAGATCAAGAAGGATCTTTCATGCCCAGGAGGCCTCTTCCTCCTCTCACCAGGCCCAGCATCACGCTCACAATCACACAGATGACATCTCAGACTGTTTTCCTCTTACAAAATAATTTCACAGCGCCTTTGAAATATAAAGCTATTATTAGAGAGTCTCCAGCTAGTTGGCGGGAATTAAGGTCATTACAAATCTGCCTCCATCTTGAGGAAATGGATTGGGACATCTGGGTCTGTTTCCACAAAGCGTCTCAGAGCTGAAAATTGGTCATAAGTGCTGAAAAAAGCTTTGCATGAAGCCTCTTTAGTCATAAGAGTCACACCAAGTCAACAGATATTTAGGACACCTCATGAGCTGTCCTTACCAGTTAAGAGTTACCTGTCGGGGTCTGGACAATAGAAAAATGCAGCGAGTCAGTGGTTCCTTCACCACATACAATTGCTTTGGAGTTGTTAAAATAGTGTTTTGATATTTCTATGTGATCAATCCATAAATAATCTAGACCTACATGCAACTGTATCTCTTGCACATTTGACAATGATTTCACATGAGGCCTACTTCACATGATATGCCTAAATACTTACACTGAGTGTACAGAACATTAGGAACACCTGCTCTTTCAATGACATAGACTGACCAGGTGAATCTAGGTGAAAGCTATGATCCCTTATTGATGTCACTTGTTAAATCCACTTCAATCAGTGTAGATGAAGGGGAGGAGACAGGTTAAATACGTTTTTTAAAGCCTTGAGACAATTGAGACATGGATTCTGTATGTGTGAATAGGCAAGACAAAATATTTAAGTGCCTTTGAAAGGGGTATGGTAGGAGGTGCCAGGAACACCGGTTTGATTGTGTCAAGAACTGCAACGCTGCTGGGTTTTCCACGCTCAACAGTTTCCCATGTGTATCAAGAATGGTCCACCACCCAAAGGACATCCAGTCAACTTGGGCCAGCATCCCTGTGGAACGCTTTCAACACCTTGTAGAGTCCATGCCCCGATGAACTGAGGCTGTTCTGAGGGCAAAAGTGGTGTTCCTAATGTTTAGAGACAATGTGGTGAAATGAGAGTGCATATGGATTTACTTACCAGATCATCTCACTGTGTTCAGGCAACATGCCATGAGACTTTAACAATGACCCTTCTAATCGTGGCTGGGTTTAATGTAGGTTATCACTTAATCTCTGAGTCCACTGCATAGCTGATAGGGTATTGTGACATGAGTGGGGGTGTATCATTGTCATTTGCTAAGGCAAGCACTAAATTATACTGCATGCCTCCTTATCGTGCATAAACTGGAGATGACCATGAGTGAACAACGGCCCTATCAGTCCTGGTATTCAAAGGTCCTGAAGGATTTTTATAAAGTTACTTTTCATTTAAGGGGAGGTTTTCACCAAGAGAAACAAGCAAGGTGGCTTTCAATCCACATAATTCAAAGATAGACAAATACAAACAGCATGCTATGTGGCCATGGAGACAGGTAGTGGTTTAGCCATGATCTGAAGCACAAAATTCTAACTTTTTAAATTGCTACTGTACAATATGTCCCTATGGTCAGCATCCCAGCATACTTCTAGCTAAGTAATTGGTGGTCTGTGACTGGCTCTTTTCAGCCAAATGGGAAAAACAGAATTACTCTGTCCATTGCAAGAGGCAATTAATTCCCCTACTTAGCCAATGCCACACAGACTTTCATTCACCTACAGGGGCAATGCCACTTTCTCTTTAAAAAAAGCATGTTCTCAAATATATATATATTTTGCTCATCGAGAGATTGTTTTGATTGTGTGTGTAATCAAGAAGGGATGACTGCTCATTGACCAATTTAAACTAAATGTAATTAATTGTTGTTCTGATTTAATCAAATAAAATACAGTGCTACGGTCATGGCCATTGAACCAGGAACTAGGAACACAACCCGAGATTAAAGTATTTACTGTAAACTACAACGGTATGCAACTATTGCTAAAGAAATTGACTATGCATTAGAATTGGTTTATTTCCATTAGACAAAATGATATGAATGATATGAAATGCAAAGTTTGTATTGCATCATGCAATGTATGATGAATAAATTGTGAAATATATTTTACACTCAATCAATGAATTATGAGATAATCTTATTGCTAAAGTACTGTTGATGTGATACAGAATGATACATTTTGTCTGGGAAATTAAATGAATCTAAATGCATTTCAACCTATTTTACCTACTTATTATTATTTTTGGTAGGGGAAATAGATGCACCATCCCTTCCTTCCCTGGAGAAAATAATGACTGATGCCTGCTTCCATAGATAAACACTGATTGGATGCAGCCAAGACGGGACCAGTGAAAGAGATGCATTCAAAGTGAGGGCCCTCTGAATGCATGCTACCAAATGGAACTCCGGGTTTATCTTTTACCTATGCTTTTGCAAACAATTTTTGTAGGCCATTGTGTCTCAATAGATCATTATGAAATTACGGCTGACTAAACAGCTCGCTATGCTGTGGTGTCCCTGCTGCTGGGTCTGTATTGATTGTGGTGGGACTGTTGATGTGACAGCCCAGGGATAACAAGTTCCACATGAATAGATAGAACCACAACAAGCAAACAACAGCCCTGGCTGAATTTAGATTCCCCTTACCACTCCAAGAGAACATTTTCAGGAACAACTATAATGGTTTTATTTTGAAACTGCTCTAGTTACAAGTAAGGCACTTGCTAAACATGAAGTGCAGTTGCTTTTTTTCTTTGAAGTCATGTGAAGCTCCAGGCTTTGTAATGGCAGAAATAGGCTGCACTCATAAATGTTGACATAAGCCATTTGTTTCATGAGCAAGCTGAAGTGTTATGTTAGTTGGACATTCCAATAAATGCGTAGCTCATTAGCATTTGGGCAGCTGAAAACAGCATAAAGGTGTTACACACTTCATCAGAGCCGCCGGCTCTAACGACAGCCATGGTAATTAGGTTAAATGCAGGTAGGGAAGAGAGAGAGAGAGAGCGCAAGGGAAAGAGGATTGTGGTGCTTAAACACTGTGTCCAGCAACACTAACCCAAGGCCTACTGGCAAACCTGGACCTAACAGCCCTCCTTTCATTGCCATTAACATTTACACACTGAGCAAGTTTCCATTAAAACCTTGAGATGTGGGAAAGTGTATGGATGTGAACCCCATAAAAGGGACAACCTAGACAGTATCCTGTTTTCACTGACCTGTACTTCAATCCCGTATCCCAGGTAGACGGTCACCACATAGATGCAGTCCACTCCAGGGTCGGATGACAATGCTGCAGAATGCTGCGGTGGAATCTTGATGTGGCCCTCGGGGTCAGTGAAATTCACAGTACAAGGACCTGGCACAGGAGAAATAAAAAGACAGGTGATCCCTCTTCCCAGACTACTGATCCATCTCTAACAGCCCATCTGTGTCTCAGTGGCCCTCTAACCCCCTCATTAACTCCCCAGGTTCCCTGCCTCTCAGCCCGGGCCCCAGAGATCACGCCGCCCCTCAGCCATCTAGACCCACTGGAGAGGACAACCAGGCAGCACAGATCAGGTGGAGCCGGCCTCAGCAGATTGGTTTGTCGCATGATCAGCTTTGTGATCCTGGGTGCCAGATGAATGGGAGCGGTCACCATGGACGTATGGGCAACACCGACTGGCCCTCTCCGATGATGTTCCTGCCTCGCTGTAAAAAACTCTGACTAAAGTCTGAGTAAACACTATGAGTGAGAGGCAGTCAGGCAGGCCACTTTAGGTCACTGCTAAATGGCAGAATACTTGCAGAAAACTTGAATTTCTGGTTAGACTGAATATCCCATTCTAATGGACAGTTTGAAATGTACTGGGGTGGGTTTGTCCAAAATAGGGACAAAGGGCCCCGTGTAGCTCAGTTGGTAGGGCATGGCGCTTGCAACGCCAGGGTTGTGGGTTTGATTCCCACGGGGGGCCAGTATGAAAAAAATGAAAAAAGAATAATGCACTCACTAATTGTAAGTTGCTCTGGATAACAGCGTCTGCTAAATTACAAAAATGTAAAATGTTGTCGGCAGGGAACTAAATCAGAACCGCGAACGAAAATGATCTATACAGTTCCTGAACAGAACCATTATTTTAAAAGCATGGGACCCTCTCTCGCACTCTCCCCACCTGCAAAATTTCAGTCTCATCTCGCTCCCTACACTCTTCTGTTCAATGCATGTAAATAGCTTGCCCCCTCCATAGCAGGCTGCTCTATCCGCACTGATTGGTGATGTCATTTAATGTTAAGATAAATGTAAAAAATCTATAAAAAAATCAGAGGTTTAAAAAGGAACAGAAAGGAACGATATAAACCGTTACTTATTTTTGGTTCGAACCGGTTCAGAACTTTATTTTGCTGGTCGGAACAGTGAAATGGAACAAAAACAATAATGGTTCTGTTCAGAACTAAAACTATTGGAAAATAATTTTTGTTCCAACCCCTGGTTGGCATACTCTTTTTTTGGGCTTTCTTCCATCCTAGCCACATTTTTTCATCTGCTTGCATGCGCCTCCCCTATATCAAGGTGTTTTGGTACTTCCCTTATGCACTACGCTTTTCTGGGCGCTAACTATACCACAGGCCAATATAGTTTACCAGTCTAACTGTCTATCCTGCCCTCTATCCACCATTCATAGTGACAATAGTGGTAGGTGGAATGTTTGTCCAGATCTGGAATAGGCTAACTAGCATCATATCAGACATAAAATCATTCAAAGCTGCACCAATTTTCAATGTAAGTGGAGAGGCCAGGTGTGTCATTGCACATGAAAGAATAGTGAAGACATGAGACATGCAAGAGAGGGGGACAACACAATTATCTTACCTAAATTATATTAGCCTACAACACCACATTGCAATGAATAATTGCATTATTGTTTTCAAGTGAGTACAAAATTCTACTCTAGGCTGTGAACTGCAGTGAACTGTTGATAGTTTAAGTGATTTTAAGACCCGCCCCTGAGTAAATTTCGAACTGTTGATAGTTTAATTGATTTGATGATGCCTGCATTAAAACTGCTACTCTAAAGCCATTGCATTAGGCCATTACAGAAAAGTAGCAGTTGCCAATTGGATGTAATTGGATTTACATACTTCTAGCTTCACTCTATTTGTGTATGAGACCAATAGAAACAGAAGTTACCTGGTGTCTGCATGGTGGTGATGGTGGTGGTTGTGATGATGGTTGTGGTGGTCATTCCCTCATTCACCTCTCCTGTGGATACTGTGGTCAGTTTGGTGAGCTGGATCCCAGGGCCTGTTCTGTTCTTTACCCGTGGTTCCTCTGACTCCCCTTTCTCCACACTCACTGAGGTAGTCAGGACAGGGGGGGGCAGGGTGTTCTCCATGATAACTTCCCCCTGACCATTGGGGCTTCCGTTCAGGAAGGTGGGGACATTGGGGCTGTGGCCACTGACTGTAGGGGCAGTGGTTGCTACTACAGGCGTGGTCAGGGAGTCTGTGGTCACCACCACCTCCTCTGCATCCCTGGCCTTGTCCTTGGCAGACTTGTTATTCTGAGCCATGCTCACCAGTAGCCCAGGGGCTGTAGACGCAGAGATGGTGAGGGGGGTTGTGGCAGCCACCGTGGCAGTAGTGGCGATGTCAGAGAAGGCAGGGGCATCCTCGTGTGGCACCAGGCGAGTTGAGGCGTCCCCCGCCTCAAAGGCAGAAACAGAGCTGGGCATTGTGGGATGTCCTGCCACGTCTCCATGGTCTGTGAAGAACCGCTGGTCCCCCTGGAAATCTTTAGCGAGCAGGAGTTCATGTAGGGCCAATCCTCTGAAGACAGGCCGGTGGTTGGGGACGTTCATGGGGGATGCTGTGGTAAAATGGTGGATCTCACTCTCTGTGTCCTGTGTGGATGAGTGTGTGAAGGCGCCGCTGTCTGACTCCACTCTCCTCTGGCCCCCAACATTGCCATTCTCTAGAGAAGACACTGGAGAGAAACACACCAACAACATGGAGGTATTAGAGTATACCAGAAGAGAAATATAATACCAGAGAACATGATTCCTAAATATTACATCGCAAAGAAAATATATTTTTTCTTCAAAGTAAAAACAAATCTACATTGGATACATACAGTGGGGAGAACAAGTATTTGATACACTGCCGATTTTGCAGGTTTTCCTACTTACAAAGCATGTAGAGGTCTGTAATTTCTATCATAGGTACACTTCAACTGTGAGAGACGGAATCTAAAACAAAAATCCAGAAAATCACATTGTATGATTTTAAAGTAATTAATTTGCATTTTATTGCATGACATAAGTATTTGATGCATCAGAAAAGCAGAACTTAATATTTGGTACAGAAACCTTTGTTTGCAATTACAGAGATCATACATTTCCTGTAGGTCTTGACCAGGTTTGCACACACTGCAGCAGGGATTTTGGCCCACTCCTCCATACAGACCTTCTCCAGATCCTTCAGGTTTCGGGGCTGTCGCTGGGCAATACGGACTTTCAGCTCCCTCCAAAGATTTTCTATTGAGTTCAGGTCTGGAGACTGGCTAGGCCACTCCAGGACCTTGAGATGCTTCTTACGGAGCCACTCCTTAGTTGCCCTGGCTGTGTGTTTCGGGTCGTTGTCATGCTGGAAGACCCAGCCACGACCCAACTTCAATGCTCTTACTGAGGGAAGGAGGTTGTTGGCCAAGATCTCGCGATACATGGCCCCATCCATCCTCCCCTCAGTACGGTGCAGTCGTCCTGTCCCCTTTGCAGAAAAGCATCCCCAAAGAATGATGTTTCCACCTCCATGCTTCACGGTTGGGATGGTGTTCTTGGGGTTGTACTCATCCTTCTTCTTCCTCCAAACACAGCGAGTGGAGTTTAGACCAAAAAGCTCTATTTTTGTCTCATCAGACCACATGACCTTCTCCCATTCCTCCTCTGGATCATCCAGATGGTCATTGGCAAACTTCAGACGGGCCTGGACATGCGCTGGCTTGAGCAGGGGGACCTTGCGTGCGCTGCAGGATTTTAATCCATGACGGCGTAGTGTGTTACTAATGTTTTTATTTGAGACTGTGGTCCCAGCTCTCTTCAGGTCATTGACCAGGTCCTGCCGTGTAGTTCTGGGCTGATCCCTCACCTTCCTCATGATCATTGATGCCCCACGAGGTGAGATCTTGCATGGAGCCCCAGACCGAGGGTGATTGACCGTCATCTTGAACTTCTTCCATTTTCTAATAATTGCGCCAACAGTTGTTGCCTTCTCACCAAGCTGCTTGCCTATTGTCCTGTAGCCCATCCCAGCCTTGTGCATGTCTACAATTTTATCCCTGATGTCCTTACACAGCTCTCTGGTCTTGGCCATTGTGGAGAGGTTGGAGTCTGTTTGATTGAGTATGTGGACAGGTGTCTTTTATACAGGTAACGAGTTCAAACAGGTGCAGTTAATACAGGTAATGAGTGGGGAACAGGAGGGCTTCTTAAAGAAAAACTAACAGGTCTGTGAGAGACGGAATTCTTACTGGTTGGTAGGTGATCAAATACTTATGTCATGCAATAAAATGCAAATTAATTACTTAAAAATCATACAATGTGATTTTCTGGATCTTTGTTTTAGATTCCATCTCTCACAGTTGAAGTGTACCTATGATAAAAATTACAGACCTCTACATGCTTTGTAAGTAGGAAAACCTGCAAAATCGGCAGTGTATCAAATACTTGTTCTCCCCACTGTATATGGCTCTGTTGTAATTGCAAAATCTGTTCTTTAGTCTAGGGTTAGGGACCGTCATTTACCAGGCTGTAAGGAGTATTATGAGTGGATATCTTGTTACATAGAAGGTTAAGTGCTGTGGCTAGTGAGCAAAGTGGAACAATAACTACCCTGATTAACTAACTACTACTGTAGACAAATTGCCACGAGAGGCCCTTAGAAAAGGCCCTTCAGGAAAAGCCCCTCATGATAACCCTTTGATGATTCATTTGAATACCTTTCTTCCTCCTTCTTCCAATTAGCCAAAGTAAAGATTTTGCTCTGAATGTCTCATGATTAGCAAATATAATAATGGCTGAGCCGTAGAGAGTAATTATTCCCACCTGCAGTGGTTGAGATGTAATCAGGAAGCCCCAGGTCTGGGTGCTAAATTCAAAAAGTGGGAGGGCTGATGATGTAAGCTCCAAATTGCTCTCATACAGTATTTCTATAAGAATCCAAAACCACAGTGTTCAATTTATTTGCTCTCAAGAAGTGTAGTCGGAAATGTTCGGTGCTTTTGAAAGTGGGTCTATTTTGCCGGAATGACGGCTTAAGTGGCAAAAGACACACCAATAATAAAGAGCAACAACACGATCGCCTTTCTCTTCTACATCTACAGTGGGGAAAAAAATATTTAGTCAGCCACCAATTGTGCAAGTTCTCCCACTTAAAAATATGAGAGAGGCCTGTAATTTTCATCATAGGTACACGTCAACTATGACAGACAAAATGAGAAAAAAATATCCAGAAAATCACATTGTAGGATTTTTAATGAATTTATTTGCAAATTATGGTGGAAAATAAGTATTTGGTCAATAACAAAAGTTTCTCAATACTTTGTTGTATACCCTTTGTTGGCAATGACACAGGTCAAACGTTTTCTGTAAGTCTTCACAAGGTTTTCACACACTGTTGCTGGTATTTTGGCCCATTCCTCCATGCAGATCTCCTCTAGAGCAGTGATGTTTTGGGGCTGTCGCTGGGCAACACAGACTTTCAACTCCCTCCAAAGATTTTCTATGGGGTTGAGATCTGGAGACTGGCTAGGCCACTCCAGGACCTTGAAATGCTTCTTACGAAGCCACTCCTTCGTTGCCCGGGCGGTGTGTTTGGGATCATTGTCATGCCGAAAGACCCAGCCACGTTTCATCTTCAATGCCCTTGCTGATGGAAGGAGCTTTTCACTCAAAATCTCACGATACATGGCCCCATTCATTCTTTCCTTTACACGGATCAGTCATCCTGGTCCCTTTGCAGAAAAACAGCCCCAAAGCATGATGTTTCCACCCCCATGCTTCACAGTAGGTATGGTGTTCTTTGGATGCAACTCAGCATTCTTTGTTCTCCAAACACGACGAGTTGAGTTTTTACCAAAAAGTTATATTTTGGTTTCATCTGACCATATGACATTCTCCCAATCCTCTTCTGGATCATCCAAATGCACTCTAGCAAACTTCAGATGGGCCTGGACATGTACTGGCTTAAGCAGGGGGACACGTCTGGCACTGCAGGATTTGAGTCCCTGGCGGCGTAGTGTGTTACTGATGGTAGGCTTTGTTACTTTGGTCCCAGCTCTCTGCAGGTCATTCACTAGGTCCCCCCGTGTGGTTCTGGGATTTTTGCTCACCGTTCTTGTGATCATTTTGACCCCACGGGGTGAGATCTTGCGTGGAGCCCCAGATCTAGGGAGATTATCAGTGGTCTTGTATGTCTTCCATTTCCTAATAATTGCTCCCACAGTTGATTTCTTCAAACCAAGCTGCTTACCTATTGCAGATTCAGTCTTCCCAGCCTGGTGCAGGTCTACAATTTTGTTTCTGGTGTCCTTTGACAGCTCTTTGGTCTTGGCCATAGTGGAGTTTGGAGTGTGACTGTTTGAGGTTGTGGACAGGTGTCTTTTATACTGATAACAAGTTCAAACAGGTGCCATTAATACAGGTAACGAGTGGAGGACAGAGGAGCCTCTTAAAGAAGAAGTTACAGGTCTGTGAGAGCCAGAAATCTTGCTTGTTTGTAGGTGACCAAATACTTATTTTCCACCATAATTTGCAAATAAATTCATTAAAAATCCTACAATGTGATTTTCTGGATTTTTTTTCTAAATTTGTCTGTCATAGTTGACGTGTACCTATGATGAAAATTACAGGCCTCTCTCATCTTTTTAAGTGGGAGAACTTGCACAATTGGTGGCTGACTAAATACTTTTTTCCCCCACTGTATCTCCATTTGTATAGGGAATGCCTTTAAAAAGTTCTGTGACAGATTAATAATGACAGTCCTCACTGTGAAGCCTGCAGTAAGTCAGCATGAGTGTTCATTATCGCAGACAAGCTCTGCAATCACAGCCAGAGCAAGGGAAAGAACTGAAAGGAGAATTTCATCCAATGTAAATATTCGTCTGACTTCTGAGATAAAAGATTAACAGACACAAGTTTTCTAAAGGAGTGACTCCAGCTGAAGGATGGGATGACTTTCAGGATGTAGATTACCCCTTGTGTGCATGTGCACACACACTGGCACACAGACACACACACACACACACACACACACACACACACACACACACACACACACACACACACACACACACAATGCCTTGACCCACACTCCTTAACCACATGCCAGAGAAAGAAGTATGATACAGCACAGGAAACACAATGTCACAACTTCCGCTGGCTCCACTCCTTGTTCGGGCAGGTTTCGGTGTTCGTCATCACCGGCTTACTAGCTACTGCCGATCCCATTCTCATCACTCCACTTGTCATGTCTTGTCTTGTCAATCACACACACCTGGTGCTCATTCCCCTAATTAGTATGTGTATAAGTGTTCCCTCTGTTCCCCTTGTCTTTGTGAGTGAGTGTTTTATTGTGAGAGCGAGTAGCACGGTTGAGCTACTCTTCCATTTTGTTATTGCCAAGGTGGAATATTTCCCTTGTGATAGTTTCGTTTTGATGCTGGTTGTAAACGGAATAAACTCTGGACTTCTGTGTTTTCCCTCCTGCGCCTGATTCCTTCATTCACACCTCATCACACACACAAGCCTTGTAGTGGTAAACCACTTTGAAAATTGAGAACATTTTGTTATCTAGCTACTGTCTCCAAAAACCCAGACACAGTTGCCAAAACAACAGGCAGTGTGAAGAGATTGATATGTTACAGCAGTGATAACAACTACTCCTCTTGTCCTTTATCAGAGTAAGACCTCAGTGAAATGGAAATAAAGGACTTACAAAAGCTCTCTGATGTAAA